GTTCTAGGGGAGCCTGGCCCTGCCCAGGGTCTAGCCCGGGAGAATTGGATTGAAATGGGGGAAGGAGGGAGGGACTGCCTCACACTGGGTGGGGCGGATGCCTCACCCTCTCCCCTTCCCTCTCTTCTCCCCCCCCTTCCCCCCCCCCCCCCCGCAAGAAGTGGGGAGTAAAGACTTGCAGTGCTTTCTCTGCGGTGCTTTTCCTGGATCTCTCAGCCCTTCCAGTGGCCAGTGGGAGGAGGATGGGGGACGTGTGGACAGGGCCTGAAAGATCCCAGATTTGTGAGGGCTAGGGGAAACTGGTATATATGGTGGAGGGAATCCAGGCCTGCTAGAGTGGGTAGCTTGATTCATTGAAAAAGGACTCATTGTCCCCTTCCAGAAGGTGCTTCAGCCCTGTCTGGCCTTTCTTCAGCCTTATAGAGATCACTCAGTCTCCACCATTTTTTCCAAACCCTGATAGTGCCGGAAAATTTCTGCTCTTATTAAGATAGATGTGTGCCCATGGACTGAAGGGTCCTGGGTTTGATTCTGGTAAAAGACACATACCTTGGTTGTAGGCTCCCCAGCCCTGGTCAAGGTGCCAATCAATTGATGTGTCTCTCTCACAACGTTGTTTCTGTCTCTCCCTCTCTCTTCCACTGTCTCTAAAAATCAATGGAAAAATATCCTCAGGTGAGGATTAACAACAACAAAAAAGAATGGTCCCTCCCTCTGCGCCAGTATCTCTCAGTGGCTAAATGTCAACCTTGAACCAAGAGTTGATTGGTTCCATTTCCAGTAGGGGGCCTGCAGTCAATGTCTAGCATCATAAACATGAATTAATGGGGGCAAAGTACCCAGCACACGATAGGCAGCTCTGGGTATAGGTACTGTTATCATTGGGGCAGCAACAGGGCCTGGTGGAAGGTGAACAAGTTCTGGAGCCAGACAAACCTGGTTGCCAGGCTTGGCATTGCCACTTAATGACTGATATTGGGCAAGTTCAGTTGCCTCATTTGTAGAACTGAAGGTGAGAGCCAGGAGCTCTCCCAGGACTGCTATGGAGTAATGCAGATGACGAGGCATTCAGCAAATCATTTCTAGTACTCATCTCTTTGCCTCTGTCTAGTGAGTCCAAGCCCATTTTACAGATAAGGAAACTGAGGCTGGAATCCAGGACTCCTTACACTTTTGCCAGTGTTCAGGGCGCTTGAAGAAGAGCAGGCATGCAGCGAGCAAGCAGGATGTGTTTCTGGCAAGGGAGGGTGAGTGTTGGCAGGGCCTACTGGGGGCTTTTCTTGCTGAGGGAGGCAGAAAGTACCTGCCCCCACCCTCATCCAGGCACCACTCAGGGTACCTGCACAGGCTTGTCCAGCCCAGACTGGGGTGGGGTAGGTGGGGCTGGCAAAAGCAAAGGTCACCCCTCTGGCCCCTACAGTCCCCCAGCTGGCTTGTTTTCCAGGAGCAGCAGAGAAGTAAAAAACCTTGTTTTCAGCCTGGCTACAAAGTGGACTTTGGCTTCTTTAGCAGGCTCAGATGGGGCCTGCTAGCTGAGGCCAGTAGATGGGGGATAAGAAAGTAAGATGCATTTCAGGCAGTGCCCTCATCTTTTCTGAAGTCCAGACAGGTGAGGGCCTTGCCGAAGTTGGCATAGCCAGTTCACAGAGGTGCAGTGCCCTTCTCAGCATCCTGTGGACCCTCCCAGCATCCCATGGCCTCCTTCTCTCCACCTCCATTCTTCCAATCACTCCACAGATGTGCTTATCAGAGCACAAGAATGGATAGTTGAGGATCCTGCCCTCTCATGAGGCTTGAGAAGTGTAGACTTGAGGGACTCACCCCTGGATGCCATGAACTGTGCCTAGAGCCTGTGAGTGTGTGTGTATGTTAATCCTCACCCAAAGATATTTTCCATTAATTTTTTTTTTGAGAGAGAGAAAGAGAGTGGGAGGGAGGGAAGAGACATAGCGAGAGAAAGAAACATTGATGTGAGAGTGACACATTGATTGGTTGCCTGCTGCATTTGCCCTGATTGGGGCCAGGGATTGAGCTTATAGCCAAGGTATATGCTCTAGACCAGAATAGAACCCAGGACCTTTCAGTCTGTGGGCCAAAGCTCTATTCACTGAGCCAAATCCTCTCCCTCTCCCTTCCTCTCTGAAATAAAATATATATTAAAAAAAAAAGAATGCATAAATAAGTGGAACAACAAATCAATGTGTTTTTCTGTTTCACATGACCCAATACTGGCTGGTCTCTGTTCCCATACTCTTCCCTTTACTTGATTCTAGCCACACTGGCCTTTGAGCTCAGAAATCATAATCAGCTCTGTTCTGCCTCAGAGTCTGTCCATGATGTTCCCCCTGCCTGGAACCTGGCTTAACCCCTCAGAGTTTGCCTGATTAGCTCTTATATTTCAAGTCCTGGCTTAAATGTAACCTCTTCAGAGATGCCTTCTTTCCCCTCACTCCCCTATCAATAGAAGGTCTCTCCTGTTATTTCATATTATCTCAATCCATTCCCCCATAGTACCCACTACACCTTGTGTTCATATACTTCTTTTTTAAAAATATATTTTATTGATTTTTTACAGAGAGGAAGGGAAAGGGATAGAGAGCTAGAAACATTGATGAGAGAGAAACATCAACCAGCTGCCTCTTACACACCCCCTACTGGGGATATGCCCACAACCAATGTACATGCCCTTGACCCGAATCGAACCTGGGACCTTTCAGTCCGCAGGCCAACGCTCTATCCACTGAGCCAAAACGGTTTCGGCTATGTACTTCATATATATATATATATATATATATATATATATATATATATATTTATTTTTTATTTTTTTTTTTACAGAGAGGAAGAGAGGGATAGAGAGTTAGAAACATTGATGAGAGAGAATCATCGATCAGTCCGCAGGCCGACGCTCTATACACTGAGCCAAACCAGTTTCAGCTCATGTAATACTTTAAACAATAAAGAATTTAAATTAAAAAAAGAAAGGGACTGTCTCCCAGTTGGGCATAGATAAACACAAAAATACACCACAAGTCCAAAGCTCTATTAGGAGGAATGTTTAATTAGCAAAAAAAAAAAAAAAAAAAAAAAAAAATGGCTCCATGGAAGTGACTCCCTGGCCCAGAATCCATGGGGAGGATGTGCCCTTAGGTTATTTTTTCAATGAGAACATCAGGGTCTTCAGTACTCTCACTCCCTCCCCACAAAGTGGGAGGTTGGTATATCTACACAGAGAATCAATGCTGGTCTATATACAAATGTTATGTGATTCAACAGAAATAAATTTAAGGGAAGATCACATGGGGTGGGGGTGTTTTCAGGGGACAAGAGATATGAAATCTGGCACACTGGAGTCTTCCTGTCTCTGAGGTGGCACTTCTCTTAAAAAAGAAGTAGCCTGGTTCAAATTCCAGCTTTACCACTTATATACTATGTGACCTGCGTGGAGTACTTCACCTCTCCCAGCCTCACTTTTCTGTAAATTGGGAATGAAAATGGGACTGATATTAAAGAATTAAATGAGAATATGTGCAAAGCCCTCAACACCATGTCTGGAATGTAGTAGGGGCTCACTAAAAAGGGTCTTAGTTGTGGAGCAGAGATTTAATCAAGCTCTCCCAAGACGTGGCCTCTCCCTCACAATCATCCAACTCTTTCCTTTCTTTATTAGTTTTGGCTTCCTGGTCCCCCGACAACAGAAGGAAGCATTCTGGATTCTGGCCTCTAGAAAGGTAAAAGACTAATTTTAATGTGGACTGTGGTGAACTTATCGTTTGAGACTCTTAGCTAGCCACTGCCCTGCTTAGTTACTTTCTGGATACAGCAGGTTCTACTGGGGAAGTCACTTTCTTCTAGGAACCTCTGTTTCTCAACTGAAAAGTAGATAAAAAAACAAAGTCCCTGTTCCTGCTTACTGAGTTTTATGTAAGTCAAAAGCCAGAAGCCAGGCCCGCCTGGCTCAATGGTTGAATGTTGACCTATGAACCTGGAGGTTACAGTTGAATTCTTGGTCCGGCAGGGCACATGCCTGGATTGCAGGCTCCAACACCAGTATAGGATGTGCAGGAGGCAGTCAATCAATGATTCTCTCTCATCGATGTTTCTCTCTCTCTCTCCCTCTCCCTTCCTCTTTAAAATCAAATATATATATATGATATATGCCAGGAGAATTCATTGCAACCTGCAAAGTTTTAATTCTGACCTTATATGCAGACCCCCCTTCTTCATGCTTCAGTTTCTCTACTGTAAAAAGGGGAGAGGTCTACTGCCTCTTTGGTAGGGGAGGTATCGCTTTAAAATTATGTGTTAAAGTTATTGTTCTGGACGTAGAATCGGAAAGATGCCTTGAATTTTGGAAAAGAATAAGGTCTTGGACCATCTCTCCAAGTAAGCTTGGGGTGGCAAGTAAATGTGTGCCCTCTGCTGGCCAGGACAGGAGATAAACCCAGGGAAGCGGGGAGTGCCACGGTGGCTCAAGGGAGATATTTCAGAGAGGGGTATAGTAAAGGTGGATAAATAAAAGGATCTACATGTGAACGGATTATTAGGAGGCTAAAGAGTTACAACGTTGGTGCAGTGCTTGGAATGCAGAGGGAAGGACAACTTGCGTGGTGGTTGATGGTCCCGCCTCTCTGGTTTGTCCAGAGAAGTTCCCTTTGGTTTGTCCCGGAGCGCTTGTCAACAACTTCAGAGGACCTGGGCGAGGAGCACCCTGGGAAATGTAGTTGATTAGGCGCGCTCTCCGCTCCTCAGCCCGGTGCCCTCGGAGGCGAGGGGACTCCATTTCCCGAAATGCCTTGGACCGGGGGCGGAGGGCTGCCGTCGCGTCGGCCCGGCCGAGTCGGGGGTGGGGCTCGGAGGCTGAGGCTTCCGCGGGCGGCCGTGGGCTGGCGTCTGTGCGGCCTGCTCCCGGCCATGTCTGCGTGAAGACGCCGCTGCTGCTGCCGCCGCCGCCCCCGTCCCACTCGGTCCCGGCCGGGCCGGCCCGGCCCGTCGTGACCATGGGCTCCATCCTGAGCCGACGCATTGCGGGCGTGGAGGACATCGACATTCAGGCGAACTCGGCCTATCGCTATCCCCCGAAGTGCGGTGAGCGGCGGGCGGACTCGGGAGCCGACGGCGAGGCGCGGACTTGGCGGCCGGCGGGACCGGCGAGGCGCGCCCGTGCGGGGGGCCCTCCGCGCCGGGGTCGGGTTGGGCTCTCCTGGGTTCCCGGACCCGGCCCCCCAGGGCGTGCGTGGGGCCCTGGACTGGCCTCCTCTTCCAGGCTGGGTGACCTTGGGTCAGTCCCTTCGGCCTGCGTGCCTCAGCTCCCTGTCTGCACACGGGGGAGACCCTCGGGGAAACTGCTAGGCCCCGGATGAGGTTTCGGGCGCGACGCTGCCAAGGGGTTAGCGCTGTGCCCAGCGCTTCACTCGCGCTCACAAAGTGGTCATTGTCATACAGATTGACATCACAGCATCGCCGGTTTTGGCTCTCTTGGGTGACTTGGTGCGAAGATCCAGACAGTGGTCCAGACACTCTCCGTCCCGTATGGACAGAGATTTAGCTCTCCTGTGACCTGCTGGCTGGCTCCTGTGTATGGTGGGGACCGTGGAGCTGGGCCCGAGGAGATGATTATAGTCGCTGGGGAAGAGAGGCTGGGAATCTTGCTGGAGAACAGGAGAATGGCTGGAGGGGACCGACCTCTGGGTTCTCGGGTCTCCTTTTTTTGGGACGAGAGACCTGAGCCACCAGCAGGGAGGGTTGACTTTCCCAAGGACTCGGGGATTGGAAGCACATCTGGGACCAGGAATCCGACTCTCAAATGAGCTGTTCCTACTCTGTTCTGGTGCCTTTAATAATAAGTGTGGCCTGACCCGGAACTTTGGCCCCAGTTCCTTATTGCCCATCTCCCTCATCTGGTCATGTGCCATGGAAAGAGAAGAAAGAGGATGGGGAGTTTGGACATCATGGGAACTTCCATGTTGGGTCCTCTGATCCTGGCTTCTGAAGCATCTGATCAGACGTGGTCTTCTAGGCCTCCCAGTTGGCCTGCGGGCACCCACCAGGCCCAGTTTCCTCTGAGTGTGGTTCAGAGGAACCACCTGCTCCCACTAGTGGGGAAGCTTGTGAAACATACAGCTCCCCTGCTTCAGACCTGCTGGGGGCCTAGGAACCTGCATTTATAACCTAGTCCCCATTGAGTCCAATGTCCACTCAAGTTTGAGAACTGCCCTGCCCTGATTTGAGAAGATGAAAGAAATGGAGTGTCTGGAGCTACTGAATATGAAGGGGGTGGATATAGACTTAGGACAGTGAGTAGGAGATGCAGTCACAACTGGGCAAAAGATACTGTTGCCTACTAGTTGCGGAGTTCTCCATGCCTGCTTGTGGCTCAGGCACATCAGGACTAGGGATGGAGCCTGCAGCTGAGGTACCTGCCATTGACCAGAATCAAACTTGAGAGTTTTCAGTCCACTAGCTCAGTGGTCAGTAAACTGCAGCTCTCGAGCCACATGAAGCTCTTTGGCCCCTTGAGTGTGGCTCTTCCACAAAATACCCTGTTCGGGTGCCTCACGTACAGTATGATTGAAGCTCAGGCACAAGGGCAGGGCGGCCCAGCCTGGTTTGGGGACCCTCTGGAGGCTCTGTGGGCTGACTTCCCCAGATGATGGAGCAGCTGTTGAAGTCATCCTTTTCATCGCTTATGTTCTTCCAGCCTGTCTTTAGCTGAGTGACCTTAGGCAAGTTGCTTTGGCCCCTGGGCCACAGTTTCCTCATCTGTAAAATGGGCTGATCCTTGTACAGTACTCAGAACAGTGCCTCATACCTAAGAACCTTCGAAAAGTATTAGCTGCTGTAATGGCTTAAGAAGGAAATCAGGTGATTAGCTCAGACCCTAATAGCAGTTAGCAGCGGTGTGGCAGAGATATAAAAAAGTTTAATGTGCCAAAACCGGTTTGGCTCAGTGGTAGAGTGCCGATCTGCAGACTGAAAGGTCCCAGGTTTGATTCCTGTCAAGGGCATGTACATTGGTTGCGGGCACATCCCTGGTAGGGTGTGTGCAAGAGGCAGCTGGTCGATGTTTCTCTCTCATCGATGTTTCTAGCTCTCTGTCTCTTTCTCTTCCTCTCTGTAAAAAATCAATAAAATATATTTTTAAAAAAAAGTTTAATGTGCCCTAACTGATTTGGCTCAGTGGATACAATGTCAGCCTGTGGACTTAAGAGTCCGAGGTTTGATTCTGGACAAGGGCATGTACCTTGGTTGTGGGCACAACCCCAGTAGGGAGCGTGCGAGAGGCAGCTGATCGATGTTTCTAACTCTCGATCCCTCTCCCTTCTTCTCTGTAAAAGTCAATAAAATATATATATTTTTAAAAAGTTTAATGTAGTACCAGGCTTGTGTGGTTCAGTGGTCATGGTTTGATTCCTGGTCAGGGCACATACCTGGGTTTCGGACTTAATCCCCAACAGGGGGCATGCAGGAGGCAGCTAATCAGTGATTCTTTCATCATTGATGTTTCTATCTCTCTTCCTCACTTTGAAATCAATAAAAAACATTAAAAAAAATTTTAATGTGGCACCTGGGACCAAAGCAAACTTGATGTCCCTTCACTTGGACCTTTTTTTGTTCGTTAATCCTCACCTGAGGATAGTTTTTCCATTGATTTTTAGAAAAAATGGAAGGGAGGGTGAGAGACAGACATACTGATTGGTTGCCTCCTGCACGTGCCCCATCAGGACTAGGGATGGAGCCTGCAGCTGAGGTACCTGCCATTGACCAGAATCAAACTTGAGAGTTTTCAGTCCACTAGCTCAGTGGTCAGTAAACTGCAGCTCTCGAGCCACATGAAGCTCTTTGGCCCCTTGAGTGTGGCTCTTCCACAAAATACCCTGTTCGGGTGCCTCACGTACAGTATGATTGAAATTTCGTGGCCCATGTGCAGAATTCAGTTATTGGCTCTCAGAATAAATGTCAATTGTTGTACTGTTGATATTTGGCTCTGTTGACTAATGAGTTTGCTGATCACTGCACTAGCTGATGCTCTGTCCACTGAGCCAAATTGACTAGGGCTTCTCTTGGACCTTTGGGCAAAGCCACAAATACAAGGCATTTGCAGCACCATTTTTAGGTTCTTCGTGGCAGACTTTGCTAATCTGTCAGGACACTCTTTCCAGCTGAGCCTCGACTTGGTTTCAGAATCTACCAATGGACACCCCAGTCAGCTGCAAGTAGTAGATTGGGACTGGCACCCAGGTGAATGCCATGGGCCGCCTGGGTTTTGCTGCCAGTGATTGCAGTGTTTGGGGCCTGTCCAGTCCAAAGGCTATCCTTTCTGCTTCTTTGTCCCTAGCTTGGAGAGGGACAGTTGGAGGCAGAGGGGATCTTAGCAGTACTTTAGTATGTTTTCCTACCAGTGGACTGAGGACTGCAGGAGCATTTGAGATGATTTTAGCAGGTTTCCCAAAAGACCTTTCAATTGATTTCTCTTCTTCTTCTCCTCCTCCTCCTCCTCCTCCTTCTTCTTCTTCTTGCTTTTAAAAAAATATTTTTATTGATTTCAGAAAGAAAAGGAGAGGGAGATAAAACATCAATGGTGAGAGAATCATTGATCAGCTGCCTCCTGCATGTCCCCTACTGGGGATGGAGCCTACAACCTGAGCATGTGCCCTTGACTGGAATCAAACCCTGGACCCTTCAGTTTGAAGTCACTCTGTCCACTGAGCCAAACCAGCTAGGGCTCAATTGTTCTTTAAAAATATATATGTATATATTTTTTTAACTGTTAAGAAAAATTTTATGGTATCATTGTATCATCAAGCATTGAAACATCTGAACAAGTCAATATCTGGACAGTGAGCAGCTGCTTTCTCCTTCACTTCTTTGGGTTACTAAAGCAACTTGTTAGTAGATAAGGAAAAAAGAAAAAAAGACAACCTTTTGCATTACTTAAGTCTTTCCAAGGCATGCACTGGTACAACACAAACGTCTCCTGTCAGATGTAGCTAGTCTAGCGTCCAAACATCATGCACAATACCTACCCTGTTTCCCCGAAAATAAGACAGTGTCTTATATTAATTTTTTCTCCCAAAGTTGCGCTAGGTCTTATTTTCAGGGGATGTCTTATCTTTCCATGTGCTAGGTCTTATTTTCGGAGGATGTCTTATTTTCGGGGAAACACGGTAGGTAGCAGCAGCGCACTGTGCCCGCTCCCACCTCGGTCCTGCTCATTTGTGAATGATATTTGGAGCATCTGCAGGAGGGTGAATAGTATCTGGAAGAGGAGGGAGGAGGAAACAGCATGAGTGCCTGGCAGAGAGGAGGTCAGCTGAAATTGTGCCTGGCAAGCCTGAACATTCCATTGGTGTGAACCCAAACATTGTTGATGTTCTTCAGTAGGAACATCTGGTGGGACCCCATGATAAGGTCTTCATCAGCCTTAAGCTGGCCCACAACCGTGCTGAGGATGCAGCTATCTGGTGCGGGTTGATGGTCCTGTGCTGTGATTCTTTGCTGGATTTTCTGGAATGGGAGGCTAGACAACTTTTCCACAACTTTCCCCTGGAATTGCTGTCCTTCCCATGTAAGGCATGATGTGTCAATGTAAATTGCAACTACCGTGTTTCCCCGAAAGTAAGACATCCTCCGAAAATAAGACCTAGCGCATGGAAAGATAAGACATCCCCTGAAAATAAGACCTAGAGCAACTTTGGGAGAAAAAAATTAATATAAGACACTGTCTTATTTTTGGGGAAACAGGGTAGTTAGGTTCTGTTGTTATCAAATAACTGGTAAGTAGTAATGTTGAATGAAGGTGGATCCAGTCTGCTCCCAAATTGGCTTGTCTCCCATTCTGGAGTGTCACCCAGCCTTGATTTTTAGAGAGAGTGGAAATTCCATGGGCTGGCACAATGGCATCAGTGGCAGTGACTGTCCCTTCCCCTACTTTTCCCTCAACACCCTGCTGCACTCTCAAAAAAATATCTTTATTGATTTCAGAGAGGAAGTGAGAGGGAGAGAGAGAGAGAAATATCAATGATGAGGATCATTGATCAGCTGCCTTCTGCACATTCCCTACTGGGGTTCGAACTCACAACCTGAGC